GTTGCCACCATTTGGAAGATTCAGTATTTTCCATGCTCATAAATACATTCATATTTTCAATGCATCGATTTTCTTTTCTGCTCCTTACATTATCATCATCTACTTGGCTGTCGTGACGAAGTGTTGCTCTATGTTTTAGGACTATATCGTTCTTTTTGCTTTCGGATGAAATTTGAATGCATTTCAGGATACGTTTATGAGATTTTAAGAGATTTCCAGTAAGTTTTTTTTGGCACCAATACGAACATGTGTCAGCGTCAACATGCTGAATAAAGCCATGCTCATTGGTCACTATGATTTATTCGAACCATAACTTTTTGAAATAAAACTTCGTTGGAACAATGAAACCACAAGACATCCAAAGATGACACTTTTATTTTAAGACACAGTAAAAGTAAAATTAAACCATTTTGGCCTTGGCAGAATCTAAATTTCTAAAATGTATCCAACTTTTCTGGCGAGAAATTTCGGTTTTGTAGTAAATGTTGTTATTCGTTCTTAGAAAATAGATCCTTAAAAAAGATATTCTGATTCGCATTTACATTTCGTCTTTATGCGACCCAGAAAATACTTTTGAAGAATGAAAATCTAACAAAAACACCTGAAAAGTTACGAATATAAGCCATATTTAATGTTCAAAGAAAAGATTTCAAGTCAAACGAATGCGGTGATTAGAGGCTTACTGCTCACTTGACGACTCCAGTGTAATCTGTGCTCTATATATTAACAATGCTTCATGGAACTTATCTGCTGTGATCGCAATATGTCTGAGGTAAGCGAAGCAAAGCAAAGCAAAGCAAAGCAAAGCAAAGCAATCATTGATTTGTAAATGAAAAAACACACAAATAATAGCGTGCAACGATTTTCACTTTTTCCACCTACACATGAGCATTTTGAGAGCAAAATGATGTTTGAGAAAAAATGTCGAACCAGAAATAAACTGTATCATTGTCTCTTCTTAGTAAGAAAAATCGAAACACAAGAATGCAACTATTGTTCCACCCAATTTGATTTCATAAATTCAGAATATCTTCACTTCCGCTCGGATAAATCATTCGATAAAACATTCACATTTTTTCTCAGACTTTTTTTTTCATTTCATAGCTGATCCTAACGAGTTTTCCTACTATAGTGTATTGGAAGCTACATTGAAGAAAGCTCAAAAGTTTGAATCCCTGACGCAGCGTTAGTTTTACGCTGCGGAAAATGTCAAATATTCTCCATTTGAACAGACCAATTTTCAATTCCAACAATTGGAAATGTTCGTTAATCGATTCGATGACTATATTTCGTGTTCAATTTGAATGAGTCAGCTATTTGTGGAATAAGCAAGGGCAGATATATTTAACGTAATCGATTTATTTGATTTTTCTTAAAAGCATTCGAACAACAATAAAAGCGATTCCATTTGAGATTAGAATTTTGATATATCAATTGCATGTTCAACTCTACATTGTCATTTGCATCATACTATTCAATCAGAATTGTCGGTGGATTCACATCAGCCTTGATGAGGCATAGTGATAAATTCACAAAAAAATGGTAACTTTCAATGAATCACAAAAAATAGAAAAATTTCCAAATGTGCAAAAGTGCTTTTCAAAATTATTTTCGGGTTTTCAGCGCCAATCCGTTTTTCAAGTTTTTTTCCACAACTCATCAGCGGTTTAGAAAAATGTGGAATTTTTTTTAACCAGTCTACTGAGCATGCTACTATTTCCACTTTGTCTTCTAGTGCTTTCCATCAAAATCTAGTGCAAATTCAGTTATCATGTAGATTCCAATATAGATTCAATAGTTGAAATATAACGGTGTACATTTTCTGTAAATTAAATTTCAACATATTTATAATGATCAAGTTTGAGATCCGTTTGATTATTTCGAATCGGTTCATGATCATTGAAAAATTGTTATTATAAATACATAGCTCAGCGGTTGAATTTGCTCAGTATAGTGAAGTAGGTGAAGCTGGCGTTGCATAACTGTTACAAATGAATAAGTTTAATATATATCAAAATTGGATTGTGAATAATATCATCGCAATAAATCAGAAGAATCTTTTCAACCAATTGATCTTTTTTCGTTCGATTTTTTCAACTTCTTCACCTTTTTAAAAAATTCGCGTGTACATTCGATTTTCATCGAAGCTTCCATTTTTACTGGGCTCTGAGCATTATTCATAATGAGCGGTAATTGTTTTGCTAGTCCCAAGTTCAACAATGTAATCGATGTATCGTACAATGCATCAGAAACATCCTCATAACGAGCGGTTACCCCATTGCCAATTTCGCAGAATACGAAGAACCATGTTAAAGCTGCTCCTGACAAAAATATCTGGTGAACAAAAGTAACCTAATTTTCGAAAAAGATTCAAAAGTTATTTTCATATCATATGAATCATATGCAATTTATCCATTGATAATAATCAATGTAAAGTTTACCATATCTCCAATTTTCAAGAGCTGCACAAACGGAAAAGTTTCGTTTAATAAAATAGAGAACGTGTTACGTTGGAGATCGGAAAATAGACTTACATATTGTAAATACAAGAGACCACAGCAAGTAAATATAATCGCAGTCGAAAAGAAAGCAAATAGAATCACCTTGAACAGAGCTGAAAAGGACAATGTGAACCTGTGAAGGATTGAAAACGATATATCCAACTGATTTCGAGAAATAAATCGTTGCCAACACTTAACTGCACCGCTTCCGTGTGGAATTT